TAGAGAGGGAGAGGGCGAGGGGGAGAGAGACAGAAAGAGGAGTTATGTAGGGGCATGTCTCAATTGCGCTGCATTTTATGAAGCACCAGGTGGCACTCCAACACTGTCATGGACTCAGCACTTTGAGCTCCCATTGCAAAAATAAAGCTGAATAGATTAAAAAGTATAAACATAACAAAGAACAATACAAGCAGGGCGGTCTTTGAAGAGTTGAACAGATAGAGACCTCAATGGCCTGTATAGCTGAAAGTATGCTGGACTTATTAAGTGCCAAAAAAAGGTTGGAGGATCCCAGAATAACTAGAGAAATGCATTTGCTGTCGAAAAGGCGTGTGGATGCTGTGTGCTGAAGGATCACCCTGAAAATGCTGAACATTCTGACATGTGAAAGCATATTTACTTGAAAGTATGCTGAAGTACAATTTTCCCATTCATTTGAATGGGGGAAAATTTTCAAAATAAAGCTAAATACTTTAAAAGGATGAAGTGTATAAAAATTCTGAGTTGAAGCATGAATGTCCTGGGGGAGCTGAATATTTTGATAGCTGAAAGTGTCAGGTTTGCCCGGCTGCACCTACTTTCTCACTATCATCTTGGATAAGACCAATGACCATTGTGTCATCTGCAAACTTTAGGAGCTTGACAGAGGGGTCCTTTTGGGAAATCCTGTGAAAACAGTAGAGGGGAGAGTACACATCCCTGGGGGGCACCTGTGCTTATTGTCTGGGTGCTGGATGTGGTTTTTCCCAGCCTCACCTGCTGTTTCCTGTCTATCAGCACGCTTGTACACTGACAGGTGGGGCAGGCACAGTGAGCTGGGTCAGTTTGGAGTGGAGGATTTCCGGGATGATGGTGTTGAATGCCAAGCTGAAGTCCACAAAGAGGGCCCCTGCATATGTCCCTGGGGAGTCGAGGTGTTGCAGGATGTAATGCAGTGCCATGTTCACTGCATCGTCCACTGACCTGTTTGCCTGGTAGGCAAACTGCAGGGGGTCCGGCAGGGGGTCAACGATGTCCTTCAGGTGGGCCAACACCAATCTTTCAAAGGACTTCATAACTACAGGGCGACAGGTCAGTAGTCGTTCAATCCACTGATGGGGGTTTTCTTGGGGACTGGAATGATGGAGTGTTTGAAGCAGGAGGGGACTTCACACAGCTCCAGAGACCTGTTGAAGATGAGTGTGAAGACAAAGTGATAAGCGTCTTTTATTGTTGTGTAGCAGTGGTCCAGTGTGACTTTGTCCCTGGTGGGACAGGTGACATGATGTCGGTATTTGTGCAGTTTGTGGATGAGATTTGCTCTGTTAAAGTCCCCTAGAACAATGAGTGGAAAGTCGGGATGTTCTAGCTCCAGGGTAGTTATCAGTTCTGCTAGGAGCCGTAGCGCACCAGCATTAGCCTGTGGTGTTATGTACACTCCCATTAGCATGAAACTGTTGAATTCACGAGGAGAGTAAAAGGGTTTGCAGTTGATAATTAGAGAAATGCATTTCTGGTCGAAAATGCGTGTGGATACTATGTGCTGAAGGATCACCCTGAAAATGCTGAACATTTTGATATCTGAAATTATGCTGAAGTAGAATTTCCCCATTCATTTGAAAGGGGCAAAATTTTCAGAATAAAGCTAAATATTTTAAAAGGATGAAGTTTAGAAAACTTCTAAATAGAAGCATGGATGTCCTGGAGGAGCTGAACATTTTGATACTTTATTTTTTTTTGCTGAAGTAGAATTCTCCCATTCATTTGAATGGGGCAAAAGTTTCAAAATAAAGCTAAATATTTTAAAAGGATGAAGTTTAGAAAACTTCTAAATAGAAGCATGGATGTCCTGGAGGAGCTGAACATTTTGATACTTTATTTTTTTTTGCTGAAGTAGAATTCTCCCATTCATTTGAATGGGGCAAAAGTTTCAAAATAAAGCTAAATATTTTAAAAGGATGAAGTTTAGAAAACTTCTAAATAGAAGCATGGATGTCCTGGAGGAGCTGAACATTTTGATACTTTATTTTTTTTTGCTGAAGTAGAATTCTCCCATTCATTTGAATGGGGCAAAAGTTTCAAAATAAAGCTAAATATTTTAAAAGGATGAAGTTTAGAAAACTTCTAAATAGAAGCATGGATGTCCTGGAGGAGCTGAACATTTTGATACTTTATTTTTTTTTGCTGAAGTAGAATTCTCCCATTCATTTGAATGGGGCAAAAGTTTCAAAATAAAGCTAAATATTTTAAAAGGATGAAGTTTAGAAAACTTCTAAATAGAAGCATGGATGTCCTGGAGGAGCTGAACATTTTGATACTTTATTTTTTTTTGCTGAAGTAGAATTCTCCCATTCATTTGAATGGGGCAAAAGTTTCAAAATAAAGCTAAATATTTTAAAAGGATGAAGTTTAGAAAACTTCTAAATAGAAGCATGGATGTCCTGGAGGAGCTGAACATTTTGATACTTTATTTTTTTTTGCTGAAGTAGAATTCTCCCATTCATTTGAATGGGGCAAAAGTTTCAAAATAAAGCTAAATATTTTAAAAGGATGAAGTTTAGAAAACTTCTAAATAGAAGCATGGATGTCCTGGAGGAGCTGAACATTTTGATACTTTATTTTTTTTTGCTGAAGTAGAATTCTCCCATTCATTTGAATGGGGCAAAAGTTTCAAAATAAAGCTAAATATTTTAAAAGGATGAAGTTTAGAAAACTTCTAAATAGAAGCATGGATGTCCTGGAGGAGCTGAACATTTTGATACTTTATTTTTTTTTGCTGAAGTAGAATTCTCCCATTCATTTGAATGGGGCAAAAGTTTCAAAATAAAGCTAAATATTTTAAAAGGATGAAGTTTAGAAAACTTCTAAATAGAAGCATGGATGTCCTGGAGGAGCTGAACATTTTGATACTTTATTTTTTTTTGCTGAAGTAGAATTCTCCCATTCATTTGAATGGGGCAAAAGTTTCAAAATAAAGCTAAATATTTTAAAAGGATGAAGTTTAGAAAACTTCTAAATAGAAGCATGGATGTCCTGGAGGAGCTGAACATTTTGATACTTTATTTTTTTTTGCTGAATTAGAATTTCCCCCATTTATTTCAGTGGGGCATGATTTTCAAAATAAAGCTATATATTTCAAAGGTATAAGGTTAAGAAAAATTCTGAAAACAAGCTTGGATGTCCTTGAAGAGCTGAACATTTTGATACTTTATTTTTTTTTGCTGAATTAGAATTTCCCCCATTTATTTCAGTGGGGCATGATTTTCAAAATAAAGCTATATATTTCAAAGGTATAAGGTTAAGAAAAATTCTGAAAACAAGCATGGATGTCCTTGAAGAGCTGAACATTTTGATACTTTATTTTTTTTTGCTGAAGTAGAATTCTCCCATTCATTTGAATGGGGCAAAAGTTTCAAAATAAAGCTAAATATTTTAAAAGGATGAAGTTTAGAAAAATTCTGCATAAAAGCATGAATGTCCTGGAGGAGCTAAACATTTTGATAGCTGAAAGTATGCTGAGTGTAGAATTTTCCCATTCATTTGAATGGGGTAAAACTTTCAAAATAAAGCTATATATTTCAAAGCTTTAAGGTTTAGAAAAATCCTGAAGATAAACATGGATGTCCTTGAAGAGCTGAACATTTTGATACCTGAAATAACTGGAAGTATGCTGAAGAAGAATTTTCCCCATTCATTTGAATGGCGCAAAACTTTCAAAATAAAACAAAATGTTTCAAAAGTCTGAAGTTTAGAAAACTTCTGAATAGCAGCATTAATGTCCTTGAGGAGCTGAACATTTTGATACCTGAAATAGCTGAAATTATGCTGAAGTAAAATTTCCCCCATTCATTTTAATGGTGCAAAAGTTTCAAAATAAAGCTAAATATTTCAAAGGTATGAAGTTTAGAAACATTCTGAAGAGAAACATGAATGTCCTTGAAGAGCTGAACATTTTGATAGCTGAAATCATGCTGAAGGAGAATTTCCCCATTCGTTTCAATGGGGCATGATTTTCAAAATAAAGCTAAATATTTCAAAGGTATGAAGTTTAGAAAAATTCTGAAAAGAAGCATGAATGTCCTAGAAGAGCTGACTATTTTGATAGCTGAAAGTATGCTGAAGTTGAATTTCCCCATTCATTTGAATGGGTCAAAATTGTCAGAATAAATGTAGAATATTTTCAAAAGTATGAAAGTTGCAAAAAACCTTGACTATATGCCACAATGTCCTGAAAAACCTGAACATTTTGATACCAGAATGGCTTTTCTAGCCGAATGTATACTGAACTTATTAAGATGTGAACATTTTCCTATTGGTCCCTACAAAGTAGGTAAAAGAAGTAGTATTGTGTGTGTGTGGGTGTGGGTGTGTAGGTGTTTGTGTGTCTGTGAGAAAAAAAGAGTAGTCCGACACACTGAGAAATACTAGAGTGTGGCTATTGAAATGCGACATAAAATGTAAATGATAATTATGCAAAAACCATAGAAAATATCAAAAAGCTGTTTATGGTATGAATAGCTGAAGAGTTGCTGAATAGTTATTAGTTCAAATAGTGGTTTTAGCTGAAGGTATGCTGAAGATATTAAGATGTGAAAAGTTTTCCCATTCATTTGAATGGGGCAAAATCTGCTGAAAAAAGCTAAATAGTTTAAAAATGATAAAAGTTACAAACAATAAAAATACAAGCAGTAATGTCCTTAAAAAGTTGAACATTTTGATAACTTCATGGCTGTTGTAGCTGAAAGTATGCTGAAGAAATTAAGTGCCGAAAAACGGACGGATCAAATCAGAATAATGATAAAGAACAGGATAACATAGTGTGGATGCTTCACAGCCTCCACACAATAATAAATAAAGAACAGGAGAGCATAGTGTGGATGCTGTAAAGCATCCACACAAAAAGAGTCTCTAGGTCTGTGGTACATGTCCTCTGTAGCACTGTGACATCTGTGCACCAACCTTCATTTATGTAGAAGCAGATTCCACCTCCTCTCGTTTTCCCGGACAGCTCCTTTACACAATCTGCTCTGAACACCTAGAAACCCGGTATTTGAATCGCGCTGTTCGCGATCGAGTCGCTGAGCTAGGTCTTTGTGAAGCACAAAGCAGCAGAGCGTGCAAAGTCAGAGTTTGTCCTGTTGACAAGAAGAATTTCATCCATTTTGTTGACCAGGGAGCGGAGATTAGCCAGGTGAATAGATGGGAGTGAGGTCCATGTTCCCCTCTTTCGTAACCACACCAAAGCACCAGAGCGATCTCCATGCCAGCAGGGTTTTTCCAGGTCTCATATATTGCTGCTGCGCCTCCGATCAGCATTCTTTGTTCACAAAAATCGGAGGAAGGTAGTTTGGTGTGAGTTGTCCGATATTTAACAGTTCTTCTCTGGTAAAAGTAATCCGGGATGAGTTGCACAAGACCAAGAAAACAACTCAAAGTGTTGTGTGTCAAAAATGTCTGCCTGGCACTTTGAGGCTCCTCTTGAATTAATCTTTTATACTGCTGAACTCTGGGCTTTTTGTTTTTTGGCAGTTTTGTTTCTAGACAGTATAAAAGGATTGATCTTGTGCAGTGTCACTGGAATCATAAGTGGGTTTACTGGGTATAATGTGGAAATCCACTTGCACTATCTGGGAATAGAATTTTTGCCATGCATTTATTTGTGCATCATGTTGCCTTACCTTACTAAGTGTTTGAGATTGTCCCACCAAAATCAATAAATTGGAAGCCAGGATGGAGAGGCAGAAATTCACCAAGATGATTGACCTTTCTGAACGGATATACCTACAAAGCAGACAACGAGAGATAGAAAAAGAAACGGAGAGTAGAGAGACATATAAGGTACAAATTAATGACAGACTGATGAGCTCTACAGCAACTTTTTGGACACTGCAGTCATTAACTTGCTCTGCCATCTGTTGTGTGTTATCAAAAACTAATCACCACCCCATGTAGTTAAACAGTTATACCATTTGATACTCATTAGGCCCCAGTGGAGATTTGGCACCTTGGAATACATAGAAAATACACTTTATTTTATTGTGGCAAGGGCCTAAATAGTGAGGACAATCCCACCTGTCCACACATTTGGGACACTACCAACTGTGTGTTTGTGTGTGTGTGTACATGTGCATGTGTATGCTCTCACCTCCAGAAAGCAGCATAGATTAGCAGCAGGATGAGCAGAGCGGTGCAGGAGACCGCACAGCCCACCATGAGGGGTACAGAGGGCATGCTGGTAGGACCCATGTCCTGAATAGCGACAGAAGGTGGAAAAGACAAAAGATAAAAAGGGTTAATTAATAATTAGGCATCAAATAATTAATTGAGTTTATTATTAATTAGACATTATTATATAGTGTACCTTGCTTAACAAGCCCTAAATATTTCAGTATATTATTATGCTAATTATAACTTAGCTGTCATGATGTTAGCTCAGCTTCAGCTTCTTTTGTGACATATTTTCCAAATGAAACAAAACATATTTTTGGCATATAATAAAGCATATTCCATCATTTAACTAACATGAACACAAGGTTGGAACTTACAAAATGTTATTTTGTAATGTAATGTATTGTTTTTGTGACCTTGCTTCATAAGAAGCTTCTTGAGTAGGTCAGTGTACATTTGTACAGCAACTACTGGGTTAGTACTGGCTTACAGCTACCCCACTAAGGATCTCTTACCCTTTTCAACAGTAATTGTACCCTCCTCTGTTGAATGTAATAATGCATGAATGTAAAATAGAAGTAGATTTTTTTCTTAATTAGATCAGCAAAGAAACTAAATCTGATCACACCATACCCTCCACCATGATAAATCTGAGGATAAAATAAGAGAGTTGTAATAGCTCTATAGTGTAACTATAGGGTTATTACAACTGGCTTATAGAAACCTCCTGTAATCCTCCTCTTTTGCTCAGCTCGGCTGCAAAAATGCATGGAGATAACTCAGCAAAACGCAAGCAACCAGTAATGAGAATGAAGACAGTTTCTGATATGTGATCTGCAATGAGCTAGTATTTACCCATGACAAATGTACAGTAGGGCATACCCTGTGTGATGCCCAGGGTTAGCATGGGAAAAGGGTATAAGAGCTGAAGCTAGACGTATAGCCAAAGAGATAAATAGGTGTGTGAGGGAAACTATTAACTGACTGGAATAAATCCTGTTCATTTTCCTGTCTTATAAATTAAAGTAATTATTGGCACATTTCCTGCTTTGCAATTACAGTATTAACGCTTACACTTCCTTGGTTGTACTTCCTTCAGTAACCCAACTTATAGCATGTTAATTATATGCAATTACATTTAATCAGAATTACAAGATTCTATTAGATGGATATGGAGAATCACTACACTGCTAATTATATTATTCAGAAAGTTGTTGTTTGTTACAAGCAGAGCATCTATTTTGACCACTATAATATCACCTATGTAACTTTGCCTGACATCACCTACAGATCTTACACAGTAATTATAATTTTATAGTTACTAAATCTTTCTGAGATAGCCAACAAACTACCAGGTATAGAATGCACAATGAGAGCCTGTATGGTTTAGGGTTAAAGAAAAAACTAGAGAAATACATTTCCTGTCGTAAATGCATGTGGATGCTGATAATCTGAAAGATCATCCTGAAAATTCCTGAAATCAATTGCTGAAACAGCTGAAAGAAAGAAATGGCTGAATTTCTTTGTTGTATAATCTGAAGGATGAGATGCAATAAAGTAGGAATGGCCTTGAAGAGCTGAACATTTTGATACCTGAATGGCTTTTCTAGCTGAAGGTAAAGGCTCTACTCTATTATAAAGCCTCGTCCGGTTCTCTCTACCTGGCACACGCAGCTCAAAAAGATCAAGATGTCTGGACCAAGAAACCTATATAATCTTAATCATTTTTTGGGCTAGCCCATGCTACACAGGGCATCAAAACCGTGACGTCACCTGATAAGCCAGCTTGCAGCTGACTCTAACGTTAGCCAAAACATGAGGAAAAGTCAAGGTGTGTGGCTGTTGTTTTCGTGGTGTGTATCTAAAACAATTGGACATAACCTTACACATTAAGACAAATATTAAGACTAGCATTACAGTTGACACTAACAGCTCTTTGCCTGTAACCTTGACCTGCCTGCAGTCTGCACTGCAAGTACATTACTGAACAGTTAACAGCCTGAGCTAGTCAATCTGTCTCCACTAACATTTCTAATACAACAGATCTCTAATCAATATCTATCTAACTAAGAAATTACCTAACAAAGGTATGCTAAATTTATTAATAAAATACTGTACATTTTGACACCTGGAAGGTATATCTACCTGAAAGTATGCTGAAGTACAATTTTAAAAAATAAAGCTAAATATTTCAGAAGTGTGAAGTGTTAAAAAATTCTGAGTTGAAGAATGAATGTCCTGGGAGACTTGAACACAGCAGCTGATAAATTTGATACCTGAAATAGCTGAATGTATGCTGAATTTGAAAATTCCCATTCATTTGAATGGGGCAAAACTTTCAAAATAAAGCAAAATATTTCAAAGGTATGAAGTTTAGAAAACTTCTGAAGAGAAGCATGAATGTCCTTGAAGAGCTGAACATTTTGATAGCTGAAAGTATGCTGAAGTACTTGAGACTTGAACATTTTGATACCTGAAATACCTGAAAGTATGCTGAGTGTAGAATTTCCCCATTCATTTGCAAGGGGCAAACTTTTCAGAATAAAGCTAAATATTTCAAAGGTATGAAGTTTAGAAAACTTCTGAAGAGAAGCATAAATGTCCTTGAAGAGCTGAACATTTTGATAGCTGAAAGTATGCTGAAGTACTTGAGACTTGAACATTTTGATACCTGAAATACCTGAAAGTATGCTGAGTGTAGAATTTCCCCATTCATTTGCAAGGGGCAAACTTTTCAGAATAAAGCTAAATATTTCAAAAGTATGAAGTTTCGAAATGACTGTCCTTGAAGAGCTGAACATTTTGATAGCTGAAAGTATGCTGAACTTATTAAAGATGTGAAAATAGTCCAACAGGACCCCACAAAGTAGTTAAAACAAGCAGGCGTGAACGTGTGTGTGTGTGTGGGGGGCGATAGAGAGGGAGAGAGGGAGGGGGAGAGAGACAGAAAAGGGAGTTATGTTGGGGCATGTCCCAATTGCGCAGCATTTTATGAACCACCAGATGGCACTCCAAGACTGTGTCATTGACTCAGCACTTTGAGCTCCCAATGATTTGTATTGCAAAATATTAAGCTAAATAGATTAAAAAGTATAAATGTTATAAAAAAAAAGGTTGAGTACAAGCAGGGATGTCCTTGAAGAGTCGAACAGATCAAGACCTCAATGGCCTGTATAGCTGAAAGTATGCTGGACTTAAGTGCCAAAAAAGGGTGGAAGATCCCAGAATAATATTAGGTTATTTCTTAGTTAGATAGATATTCAGAGATTTGTTGTCTAGAAATGTTTAGTGAAGACAGGATGTCTAGCTCAGGCTGTTAACTGCTCAGTTTAATTTCATGTGCTTGCAGACTGCATGTAGGCCAAGGTTGCAGGCAAAGAGCTGTTAGTATTAACTGTAATGCTAATCTTAATATTTGTCTTAATGTGTAATGTCATGTCAAATTGTTCTAGATACACACCACAAAAACAACAGCCACACACCTTGACTTTTCCTCATGTTTTGACTAACGTTATGGTCAGCTGCAAGCTGGCATATCAGGTGACGTCACGTTTGATGCCCTGCGTAATATGGGCTAGCCCAAAATGATTAAAATTATATAGGTTTCATGGTCCAGGGTCTTTCATCTTCCAAGCTGCCTGCGCGCGGGTTGGTGGTGGGAGAGATCTGGACGTGTAATGTTAATTTTACCTGTGATCCTCTGAATAAACCAGTACGGTTATTTTTTATAAAATCTAAAGCGGTCTGCTTCGTCTTATTGTGAGTTCCTGGTTTGAAAGAGCCGGAAGAGGCTTC